GGGCTCTGGCTGCGGGCCCACCCCGGGAGCAGGGTATTCGGACTGTCCCACTGCAGATGGGGGGTTCCTCAGCTGTGCCATTATCATGGGCGGTGCGGACCAGACCATCTCCACCGAGGGGTGGTGCGTTCTGGGCTGTGCCATTGCCACTGGGGAGGGGATTCTGGGCTGTACCATTGTCCCCGGGGCCGTCCTCGCTTGAAGACAGGTGGTTCTGGGACATCCCTTTCTCACTGTGGGGGGGTCTGGACTGAGCCACTGAGCGCAGGGCGGGGTGGGGACCCGAGCCGGGCTGGGAGCAGGTGGCGCCTGGTGGTGACGCCTGCTGAGCCAGGGACAGCAGGGCAGCCCCCAGGCCTCGGGCTTGCTTGACACCTGACAGCCGCTTTGCCCACAGGGAGCAGCAGCGATGAGGGCAGTGCGGTGGTGCGCAAGGAGCGGCGCCGGGACGCCCCCAACCCCATGGTCCAGAAGGTAACAGCGGCCCACCCGGAGGAGCGGGCGCGGGGCATCTTGCCAGCTGGCCCAGCCCCACCCAGGACTGTGAAAAGCCCCAGGGAAGAGCTCGGCATCATGGCAGTTGGGGGCTCCTCCCTCACGCACAGGCAGGAGCTGACACCAGCTGGCTCGCCCTGGCCCTCGCCATGGCTGTCTGCAGCCGCTGCTCCCCACCCTCAGGTGGCTTGTCTTGCAGTCTGCAGACATCTGAGGGAGCAGAGGCCTCAGCTGGGGGTGTGCAGCTGTGCAGGTGGGGAGCTACTCACAGTAGCTGCAGGCCTTGGGTGCGTCATGTGACCCCAAATGTCCTGGTTTGGTGCAGGGCAGGTGCCACAGCTGCATTCGTGACAGAGAACTCGGTTCACATGTGTGGGTGACGTTAGCCCCTGGATTGCTGCACCGGCTGTGGTGGGAAGTAGGCAGAGGGATGCGCACGGCTTTGGCTTTGCAAGTGCACCTCTTGGATCCGAAGCAAACCTGTCATTTGTTCCTGTGATGGAACAAGCGGGATGGGCCAGGGTTGAGGGTTCGGGCGCTGTGACTGTGTTGCCTCTTGCTCGCTGGTCTATGAACTCCCTCCTCCTTCCAGCAGCTGACAGTGGCATATGGCCTAGGAAGGGCACTGGGGGCTGCACAAAGGTTTTCCTTCCTTTCTTCCATATTTCGGCCTTTCTTGTTCAGAACCGCCCTGGGCATCATTAGGAGCGTGGGTCATTTTTCAGGCAGTGTTGGTCTACTGCAGCTTTACATCTCATGCATTTGTGTCCTCAAGGAGGCCACCCTTCTAGCAGCTCATCTTAGATGTAAGGGTGTCCTTATACTGGGCCAAACAGTGATGCCATTAGACATGTCATACTGCTCTGTGTCCACTTCCCTGTCCCCCAACCAGGTGCATTGTAGCCTGAACTGCTGTATTGGCAGTATCTGCGTATTCCAAGAGTTGTGAGCCTGAGTTGTAGGCACTATTGTGCAAAGGTCTTTTACTTGAGAGAGAGGTCCCATGCATGCATGTGGTGTGCAGGTGTGATCTTGGCATCTGTAGCCAGAATGCTCCCCTTTCCCACTGTTGTGCTGCCTTTTCAGAGTTTAGTGGTAGTTTAGTGATTTGTGCAGAGCCTGATCCTGATGAGACCCAAGTGCCCGAAGCTTCATTAATTTGCCTCCATGGGCTATAGTTCTGTCTGTAGCCAGCATGGAGTCAGCTCATTAGGGATGGCCTCCCCTGTGGAGGAGAGCCTTTTGTGTCTGGGTGTTGTGTTCCGTTTCCCAATATTAGATTTTCAGTGTCTTTCTCTCCCCCTGCAGACCCAGAGAAGCGTAAAGGAGAAGACCTCATACGGGTCGAACAGCAGCAGCGATGAGGAGCCATCGCAGGGTGTCGGAGTAGCTTACAAATCAACGCGATCAGCGGTGAGGAGAGTACATTGCTTACGTTTGAAGGGGACATGACTGTAGGCTCAGTAGGGCCCGAAGGAGCTAGCTGGTCACCTCGTCTGCCCTCTGGCAAAGTATAAAACTGGGCATCCTCAGGATAGCTAATGGAGACATTCTTGCCCTGAATGGGAATTTTGGTTGCTTTATCCTGGTCCCATGCCCTGGTTTTATGGCTCTGTTGAGCACTTCTCTTGTGCGTTTGCCTCTCCAAGGGCTTTCCCAGCCTTGCAGGGCCAGAGTGTCTGATAGCCTTTAATGGAGTCATCCTTGCGATGGTCCTGTGAGGCAGGGCAGGATTTACACAGGGGAAGCTGAGGTCCTTCCAGGATGAGTGACTTGCCCAGGGTCACAGAAGAGGTTGGCAATGGATCAGGAGCTTGGAGCCAGGTGACCTGAGTTGGAAGCTAGTGCCCTTGCCCCTCCAGGCAACTCTTCCTTTTTGAGCCCTTTGCAAGGGGGGATGGTAATTTTGTTCCTGTTCTACTAATGGGGAAACTGAGGCACAGAGAGACAAAGTAACTCTCCGAGGATTGTGTAACCAGTTGTTGGAAGAATGGGAAACAGAACCTAGGCATCCTCCAGTGACCTAATCATCCAACTGAAAACAGGGTGGTGGAGAGGTTGCAAGTCCTTACATTAGACACAACTCTTCCCAAATGCCTAATGAAACATACAACTTTCTGTGATGTTGGAAATCCAAACAGATGTATCTTGTTTCACTGTCTGGCCTTGAGTGCACCATGTGGCATAGAGATAGATCGATTTGATCTGGGTTAATTAATACCAGGAGATGATTGTAAGGGCCTCTTCAGTGTCCTTATTGTTTCTGTGTTGAGGCTGGCTTCAGAATATGGTGGTAGGAGGAAAGGCCCATGGGGCTCATACTGCACAGATCCCCACCCTGGTGCCTCTGTTTCCTCATCTGAAAACAGGGATCATGCTGCCTCTCCCAAGAGGGCATGACACTGTTAGTTCATGTCTTTCTAGTTCATTGTAACTTGTATCACAACACCCTGATATTGTAATTATCCCCCACTGCAGCTGGCAGGCTGGGGGCCGTTGCGGTGCGTCACTCACACTTGGGAACAGCGGGGGAGGTGCAGGAGGAGAATGTGGATATTGGGCTCTGGAGAGTTTTCAGCAGATAAATATAGAGCCGAGTCTATTTTGAATGAAGGCTGGGTAGTGCTTGTGTGGGTGTCCTTATACTGAATCCCTGTAACCATGGGGCTGTTTGTAACAGACTGACAAAGCCAGAGTTTACATTACATTAGGAAAGAAGCTAAACAAAATGGGTGTATTAATGAAAGCAAGTGCAAGAACCCTGCCACCAGGGTAGAAACCCAGACACAACTAACTACCTGTGTGCCTTGGTACAAAGAGATCTGTCCCTAGTGTCCATTCCCAACTCTGCCTGAGGTCTGAGGCAGAATAGCCCAAATACTTCCCCAACGTAGAGGATAACATTCATTACTAATCACAAGGCTCTGGAAAGGTGTCAGAGATCATAGAATCATAGAAGTAGGGTTGGAAGGGACCTTGTAGATCTTCAAGTCCGACCCCCTGCCTGGGCAGGAGAAAAGACTGGACTTAAATGAGTCCAGCCAGGTAGCCATCAAGCCTCTTCTTAAAGATCCCCAGGGTAGGAGCCAGCACCACTTCCCTAGGAAGTTGGTTCCAGCTCCTAGCCGCCCTAACTGTGAAGTAGTTCTTGCGGATGTCTAATCTAAACCTACTCTTTAATAATTTGTGTCCATTGTTCCTTGTCATGCCAGGCGGCGCTAGGGGAAATAGTGTCTCCCCCAAACCCTTCTGGTCCCCCCTAGTGAGTTTATAGACAGTCACCAGGTCCCCCCTCAGCCTTCTCTTGTGAAGGCTGAACAGGTTTAGGTCCTGCAGTCTTTCAATGTAGGGTCTGCCCTTTAGTCCCCGGATCATGCGGGTGGCCCTCCTCTGGACACTTTCAATGTTGTCCACATCCCTCCTGAAATGGGGTGCACAGAACTGGACGCAGTACTCCAGCTGTGGCCTGACCAGTGTCGCATGGAGG